CTCTTGAGGAGGTAACTGTCATTGTTGAGGAACATATCTCGACAGGTTGTTTTGGAGAGAAGATGTGGCCTCAAGGACATTAGGAAATAGAAAAGATACTTAATCTTCCCTGCCTAAGTAGGATGCAGAATTCAGGACGTGGGGAAAGAACAGGAAAAAAAAGAGACTAAAGAGAAGAGAAGATATGGTGCTTGTATAAGGAAAGAAGACAACGTGGCAGGAGGCCATACTAACTAGTGACAAGGAAAGGTGAGAAATGAAAAAGTGAAGGTCTTTCAAAAAGGATTGCTAACATTCCATTAAATTATTTGCAATATTTTAAATGCAAACCCTTTGTACCTTCCCAAATCTTCAGAAAATGCCTAATGTAAAAGCTTGGGGGAGGGGAGAAATCAAAGGAAGGGGACAAAACTCTGCATCTGGTATGGCATAGAGCAGAAAGGAAAGAATGGCTTTAGGAGGTAAGAAATGGATGAATCTAGAATTAAGCAGAAGCAGAAACTCAAAAGTGAAAGTGACTATAAGCTCTAGAAATTCTCAGCAATCTTGAAAAAGCATTTTTAGTGTGGGATAAAGGTTACCTTGAATCAGTCATATCTAAACCTCAAAAGTGAAGTTAATATTTGGGATATAAGTATTTTCTCAAGCCCTGGCCAGTTTGGCTCAGTGGTTGAAGCGTCGGCCTGTGGACCAGAGCGTCCCAGGTTTGGTTCCCACTAGGGGCACGTACAAAATAATAATAATAATAATATTTTTTCAAAACATTCTTTAAATTACTCATTCCTATTTTTAGTATTTTTGGATTTCTTTTCAATTTAAAAAATCTAGGAAAAACACAAAAAGGGGTGAAAATTTCCCATAATCTCACCATTGTACAGATTCATATAAAATTGAGAAGTAAAAAACAAAATACTTCTCTACACCACCAATTCTATTTTCCAAGCGGTAACCACTATTATATATATCAGTGCTAACATATTCTTCCAGACTTTTTTTCTATAATTATACAGTATATACTTTTCCTCTTTCCAGAAAGGCAACTGTCCTAGGCATATTATGCTGCAACTTGCTTCATTCACTTAACATATCATAAACACTATCTTTCCAAGTAACAATATATCAAGCTATTTCGTTTTCTTAAATGGCTGCATAGTATTTTATTACAGAATTTTATCATAATTTATCTAGTTCCCTATTATCAGGCATTTATACTTTTTCCAAATTAGTGTGATTATCAATCACTATAATAAACTCTGTAGGAGATTCCTAGGAGTAGAATTCTTGAGTCACAGCATATGAACATTTTAATTCTTTATAGATAATGCCAAATTGTCCTCCAAAAGGTCCTACAAATTTACATTCCAATTACAGTGTATAGGGGGTTCTTTTTTCCCTACGCCTTTATCAAACTTGGATATTAGCTGTAGTTTATGTTTTGCCAATCAGAATGGAAAAAAAAATTGAGGGGGGGGTTGATTTAATCATGTCTCTGATTACTGATTTCTCTGAGGGGTTCAACATCTTTCTATACTCAGATTGGTTGTATTTCTTCTTCTGAACTGCATATTAATATCTTTTTATTTTTAGTAGGTTGCCTTTTTATTGATTTGTAGGACCTTTTATGTATATGAATACAAAGTTCTTTATATTTTGAGTCGTAAATACTTTTCACTTAGTCCATGTAACAGAGACTTCTAGCTGTCTCCTAATATTTATTCTTCCTTTAAATCATGGTATCGTTTAAATAGGCAAATGGTCCCCTGTTAAACACTGCATTTCCAAGCTTCCCTGCTTGCAGCTAGTTTGACCATGTGATCATGAGACCAAGTTCTGGTCAAACTAATGTGAGCATAAGTGATGATTATGCTCATAAAAGGAAGAGATATTTATAGCAACCTGCTGGCTGACATGTGGATACAGTGGTAAGCCATCTTGAACCATGCAACATCTGAGGACTAGTAGAGAGAAGTGAAGCTGCCACATCAGCTCTGGGTAGCTCACAGACTGGATCATGAGGGAAAAATAAACTTATAAATTGTTGAAGCCTCGTGTTTTTTGTTTTGCTTGTTACAGCAGCCTAACTTATATGTGAACTATAACTAATATAGAATTTGGAATCTAGAAGTGAGGTGCTACTGTATTGGTTGTGGTGTATTATCCTTTTCATTTTTTAAAATATGTTTTTATTGATTTTTTAGAGCAACAGAAGGGAGAGAGAGAGACAGAAACATCAATGTGACAGAGAAACATCAATTGGCTGCCTCCTGCACATCCCCTACAGGGGATCAAGCCAGCAACCCGGGCATGTGCCCTGACTGGGAATCAAACTGGGACCTCTCAGTCCATGGGACTATGCTCAATCCACTGAGCCACACCAGCCGGGCTGTAATATCCTTTTTAAATATTGTTGGATTCAATGGACTAGGAGAGACCAGAAACAAACCTTCACATACATGGTCAGATGATCTCCGACAAGGACACCAAGACCACACAATGGGAAAAGGACATCTCTTTGACAAATGGTGCTGGGAAAACAGGAAATCTACATGCAAAAGAATGAAGCTAGACCCTTACCTTATACCACATATAAAAATGAACTCACAGCCCTGGACGGTTTGGCTCAGCAGTTAGAGCATCGGCCTGTGGTCCAGAGAGACCCGGGTTCAGTTCCCGCTAAGGGCGCGTACCTTGGTTGCAGTTTGTCCCTGGCCTGGTTGGTCGTGCGGGTGGCAGCCACTCCATGTGTCCCTTTCACATCGATGTTTCTCTCTCTCTCTCTTCCCCTCTCTCCCTCCCACTCTATCTGAACAAAAAATGGAAAAAAGTCCTCGGGTGAGGATTAAAAAAAAAAAAATGAACTCACAGATGTTTCCATCTCTCTCTTCCTCTCCCTTCTCTCTAAAATTAATAAAGAAAAAATATTTTTTAAAAAATGGCCAGCCAGTGTGGCTCAGTGGTTGAGCATCGACCCATGCACCAAGAGGCCACTGGTTCGATTCCCAGTCAGGATACATGCCCAGGTTTGTGGACGGGATCCCCACTGGGGGCATGCAGGAGGTGGCCGGCCAGTCGATGTTCTCTCTTGTCGATGTTTCGAGCTCTCTCTCCCTTTCATTTCCTCTCTCTAAAATCAATAAAGGAAAAAAAAAAATTTTTTTAAATAACAAACTTGCCCTGGCTGGCCTGACTCAGCGGTTAGAGCATCGGCCCGCAGACAGAATGATCGAAGGTTCGATTCTGGTCAAAAGCACATGCCTGGGTTGCAGGTTTCCCCAGCCCTGACGGAGGCTGTGTGGGAGGGAGGCAACCAATCGATATGTCTCTCTCAACATTGATGTTTCTCGCTCTCTCTCTACCTCCCTCCATTCCACTCTCTCTAAAAAGAATAACATAAAATATCAATGGGAAAAAAAAATTTTTTTTAATGAACCCAAAATGGACTAAAGACCTAAATGTAAGACCTAAAACTATAAAGAAAGAAATCACAGTGGAAAAACTTCATGACACTGGACCTGGCAATAGTTTCTTGGATATGATACTAAAAGCACAGGCAAAAAGCAAAAATAGAAATGGGACTATATCAAACTTAAACACTTTTGTGCATCAAATGATAACAATCAACGAAGTGATTGTGAGTAGAATCTTAGCTACATTAATTAATGTGTGACCTTGAACAAGTTACTTTACCCCTCCAAATCTAAGTTTCCTGATCTTTAAAATGATAACAATACCACTTTGATCGAGTTTATTGGATAGCATAAAAATAGGTATGCAGTAAATATTAGTTCCTGTCCTTTTCTAAAATGTCTTCAAAGTCTATGACATTGTTTTAAGCATCTTCAGTGGTGAGAAGTTTTAATCTTTGATCATGGGTTGGATCATATACTAAAAGTGACTGTGCAAGCTAAGTTCAGTGAATGAGTGATCAAGACAGTTTTTATTTTAAAAGGTTTTACAGAAATAATCCAATGAGTCTGAGCAACATCTTGATCATATCATCATTAGTTTACCTTTTGAAGAAATTCTCAAAATTTTTCAAATTTTTACAGGTCATAAAATATTATTTGATCTGATTAACTGCATGCCTCTGACATGCAAATCATTTGAGAAAGTTGTCCACTGGAGACTCTGATGATTTGTTTTGGGATCACATAAGAAAAACATTTTATTATATATCACTATTTTCTTCAAAAAATGATTTTGCTCAATTTCCCTAGAAAGACTAGAACCAACTGTTGTGCCTAAAACAATCACTAATGCTGAGCTCCTACAAACCACAAGAGAAACAATCCCACTGATAGAGCCATACTTTATACTACTTTTATAATTTGCTAAGGATGTTTTTAATGTTCATCTAATTTTTCCTTCCATAATTTAAGCACATTCCCTCTTGCTCTATAGCCTATTAATAAGAGAACAAGTATATCTATATTCATGAAGTCTTTGGAATCAGAAGCAGTTATGAAATCACCCTTCATTCTTGCCTAAATAACCAAGGCAAATTAAATAACCCAAATCCCTCTGCTTTTGCTTAATGTTTTATCTTTTTGAAAGCTCAAGTTCTCACATGAAATATTAGGAAAAAAATGTTTACAGCCCTGGCTGGTTTGGCTCAGTGGTTAGAGCGTCGGCCTGCGGTCCAGAGAGACCCAGGTTCGGTTCCTGCTAAGGGCACATACCTCGGTTGCAGTTTGTCCCCTGCCCTGGTTGGGTTGTGTGGGTGGCAGCCACTCGATGTGTCCCTTTCACATCTATGTTTCTCTCTGTCTCTCTCTCTCTCCCTCCCACTCAGGTGAGGATAAAAAAAAAAAATGTTTACATACTTTACAAGGATAATTAAGAAAAAACATAGACTTAAAATTACAGTTATGTAAACTAGCTATGTGGTAAGTATAATACAATTAATAATCAATGAAGACCCAGGAAAATTGTCGTTCATATATTAATTAATTCTACACCACGGTACTACTTCTAACATTCTAGAGCATGATAATCCTTACCAGGGGACTTTCCTTGCTGTGAGTTGCTTCTTCGCTCTCTGTATCTGGCTGGAGTGGATAGATCTGTGTCTTTATTAGGCTTGCTAGCAGACCCCATCTCTGAAATAAGGAATCCCATCTGTTCTGAAGGCAAGATATTCTCTGGTGGATTGGGCTGGCATTTTATACTGGCATCCACCTAAAATATTAAGCCCACTAATTATTCTGAATTTCCCCCAAATATCTACTAAAAGTTAAAATATTTTATCAGAGTTCTATTATAGAAACATGATCTAACAAACATGCTTGTAAACAACATTATGAACGATATTACCTTTGATTTTGTTGATTTAATCTGAATATTCAGTAGTAAGATGTACAGTTCCCCATACCCAAACCACTGAAATGTATGTGGAGCTAAAATATTTACTTATACCCAGAGAAATATTTACCATGAAGCTTGTTGATTTTTTTTTAGTAAAAGTCACACACAAAAATTTATAATTGGTTAGTATCACTGTATTTTTTCACTCTAGCATCCCTTCCATCAGGTTTCCCCTCCTATTGGTCATACTGGAATGGCCATAGGCATAATCCTGATGGATGTCAGTGAGGACACTTTATTCTACTACTTTTGTATTCTTTGTCTTAAAGAGGCCCTCAACCCCTATAAAATCTAGATCTTCCCTGCTTATGAGATATGAGTTTCTTATTTGGAGTTCCTAAATTTTCATTGGAATGTCAAATCCCTTCGTCAAGGTGATCAACTTCTGAAATATTCTATTTCTTTATGAATTTATTTTAAAATAAAACCATATAATGAAGCAAAACTAGAAGTTAAAATTATAGCTTTCAAAAGCAGTGATGTTCAAATATACTTTTTAAAGAAAAAGTAACTATGTGAAATGCAATTTTAAGGTATGAAATCTAATATTCTGGCAAAAACAAAGATAAATTTTGTGTTCTTTACATAGGAATATTTGAAACATAATGGGCCTATATTTGGTCTACTGAATTTTTATTATTTTAATACATAATAGACTGGGTTCTCAAAAGCTGGGCTCAAAAAGAACAATGAGCTCTGGCCAATTTGGCTCAGTGGTTGGAGTGTTGGCCCACCGACCGAGGTCATGGGTTTGATTCCAGTCAAGGGCATGTACCTGGGTTGCAGGTTCTATCCCTGGGCCTGGGTAGGGTCGTGCAGGGGGCAATTGATCAATGTATCTCTTTCACATCTATGTTTCTCTCTATCCCCCTCCCTTCCTTCCACTCTATCTAAAGAAACCAATGGAAAAATATCCTCAGGGGTGGATTAACAACAACAAAAAAGAACAATGAGTTGATAAAAGCATTAAGATATTTAGATCTAAAATTAGAGCTAAAAAATAATGCATTTAAAAACTGCCTAATGCCCAGCTGGTGTGGCTCAGTGGATTGAGCATCGTCCCATGTACCAAGAGGTTGCTGGTTCGATTCCCAGTCAGGGCACATGCCCCGGTTGTAGCCTCCATCCCTAAAAGGGGGTGTGTGAGAGGCAGCCAATTGATGTTTCTCACTCACTGATGGTTCTATCTCTCCTTCTCCCTTCCTCTCTCTCAAAAATCAATAAAAGCATTTTTTTTTTTTTTTTTTGTAAAACTACCTAAAGCCCTGGCCGGTTTGGCTCAGCGGTTGGAGTGTCGGCCTGCGGTACAGAGAGACCTGGGTTCGGTTCCCGCTAAGGGCACGTACCTCGGTTGCAGTTTGTCCCCGGCCCTGGTCGGTCATGCGGGTGGCAGCCACTCGATGTGTCCCTTCACATCGATGTTTCTCTCTCTCTCTCTTCCTCTCTCTCCCTCCCGCTCTATCTGAACAAAAAATGGAAAAATGTCCTCGGGTGAGGATAAAAAAAAAAAAAAAACTACCTAAAAATTATGTTGGGAATTTCTAACAATAAAGACATTTTTCAGTCTCATTAAAGAAAAAATCCAAAATGAAGGAATGAATACACAAACACACACACACACACATACACACATATATCTCAGGCTAAAAACTACTTAAGTTATTAAGAAAAAAATACTTAAGTTAATTCTAAAACTCTGATTTTATTTTGTGTGTGCTTATTTAGAATTGAAGTTTATTCATTTTCTGGTCAAAAACTAACAGCAATAAAGGAATTAGCCTCTACCTTCAGAACATGTCTCAAACTGGAGTCAGAATTCTGCTTTAGGAATGCAGGTATTTATAAAGAAACTGAAACATAGTACTCACAAGTCTATTAGAATTCAATAATGCTGTAAGAAAGTATAAAAAGACCTCCAACCATCTCATTTCCATGCTACAAATGGCTAGGAAGTTCTGATATTATCTGTCAGATAAACTATCCCTTTTCAGTAGTGGAATTTAATCAGCCGAGCACACCTAGTCCATCTAAATTAAGACAGGAAGCAAACTCAAGGAATGCTTTTAACATGAAAATAAGTCTTATACAACCACGCTCAATCAGACTGCCTCTCTAGAGGTTGACTTCAGACCATAACATAGTGAGAGGATGCTTGAGGGCTAAGGTTACTTCTTTCTGTATCTTTTGTGCAGAACCACTGGGACATGATCCTTCTAGGAAGCACAATAAATTGGTATTAAACCCAAATTAAATCTGAACAAACTCTCCACTAGAACAGCAGGAAAACTAGGTACTTTAAGCTTTCTTAGCTTAAACTTTTTATTTTCCCCTTACCTGGTGTGGACTAAATGGTAGCCCCTCCTGCACAAATACTACTGAAGGTGGAGATGGATTATGACTTAGTTGCTCCTTCAGTTTGACATGAGCTTGTTGGATGGCTGCAGATTCCTGCATTGTAGTATTTTCAACAGGCTGAGCTGTGTGGATGGTATACATGTACTCAGGTGACTGTGGTAGAGAGCAGGTAATTGCTTGTTCTGTTCCGACCACAAAAGATGTAATATCTGAACCTACAGGAGTAAGTGGCTCCAGCTGGCTAGCCTGACTTGTGGAAGACGGATTGGTATTGCTTGAATTAGCTAGGATATGTTGGCCTCTGTTAGACTGAGATGTTGGACACTGATTCTCAACAGGCTCCACCTTTACCATCTCCAATTTAGGAGAGGAATGCAACTCATCTAAGATCCGAAAAACAGCCTCTAGGTTTACTTCTGTCTTTTTATTTTCATCAGTAGTACCACAAGGCCAATTAGAAGGCAGAAACTCAACTGGATAAGAGGATGGCATTGGAGGATTCTGGGAAAAGAGAAAATAGGACTGTTTGGATAGAAAATCAAATATGAGATTAAGGAGGAAAGAAACAACATATAGGCTGATGAATGCTAAATATAAATAGATTAAACTTAAAGTTTACTAAAAAACTTGAAAACCAATCAACTTTTCAGTAGTGGTAGCTTCAATTTTATTGTTAACATTTACTTAGCAACTATTATATGCCAACCACTATGCTAAGTTTAATACTGGAATGAACCAATAATTCTCAGGAATAAAGCATACAAAATCAAGACTGTCTACCCAAATACCTAATTTGCTGATAAAATGTCTATATACCAAGTTCTTCCATAAAGGTTGACAGACAAAAACATCACTGTGTCTATCATATACTGTTTTAGAAATGTAGTAAGGAAATTTCAAACACAGGATGCTCACAAGTCCACCAACGCTTCTATAGATTCAGGGGGAGGTACTGTTCCAAATAATCTGAGAAAAAATGGATGGAATATTGACTGTCCTTTAGTTCCTGAGACTGTTTATTTTTAATAATAAAACAATAGCCCTGGCCGGTTTGGTTCAGCGGTTAGAGCGTCGGCCTGCGGTCCTGAGAGACCCGGGTTCGGTTTCCGCTAAGGGCGCGTACCTCGGTTGCAGTTTGTCCCCGGCCCTGGTCGGTTGTGCGGGTGGCAGCCACTTGATGTGTTCCTTTCACATCGATGTTTCTCTCTCTCTCTCTGTTCCTCTCTCTCCCTCCCACTCTACCTGAACAAAATATGGAAAAATGTCCTCGGGTGAGGATAAAATAATAATAATAATAATAATAATAATAATAATAATAAAACAATAGATTAAAAATAGCTGTCATGCCCTGGCCAGTTTGGCTCAGCAGTTAGAGCATTGGCCTGTGGTCCGGAGAGACCCGGGTTCGGTTCCCACTAAGGGCATGTACCTTCGGTTGCAGTTTGTCCCCGGCCCTGGTTGGTCGTGCGGGTGGCAGCCACTCGATGTGTCCCTTTCATGTCGATGTTTCTCTCTCTCTCTCTCTGTCTTCCTCTCTCTCCCTCCCACTCTATCTGTACAAAAAATGGAAAAATGTCCTCGGGTGAGGATTAAAAAAAAAAAAAAATAGCTGTCATGCCCAGCTGGTGTGGCTCAGTGGTTGAGCTTCAACCCATGCACCAGGAGGTTGCCAGTTCAATTCCTGGTTAGGGCACGTGCCCAGCTTGTGGGCCAAATCCCCAGTGGGGGGCAGCCAATCAATTTTCTCTCTCGTTGATGTTTCTCTCTCTCTCTAAAATCAATAAAGAAAAAAAATTTTTAAATAGCTGTCACTTCTAGATTCATCTTTAAGATGTATTCTCTTATACAATGTACTTTGCACAGAGTAGGCATTCAATTACGTGTGGTGATAAATGAAGTAATGACTAAATAAAACATATAGTGCATTGATGTTGCCAAACACACTACAAAGACTGTATCAATGATTTGAAGAACACTAATGCCAAACAATGTAAATTTAATGGTTCACTCATCAAGCTACTTTACTATACCCAACACCACCATTTATTGAGTTTCTCACTATGTACCAAATGTAAAAAAGTGCTTTACATATATTATTTCATTTTTTTTTTTTTTTTTTTTTTTTTTTTTTTTTTATCCTCACCCGAGGACATTTTTCCATTTTTTTGTACAGATAGAGTGGGAGGGAGAGAGAGGAAGAGAGAGAGAGGGAAACATCGATGTGGAAGGGACACATCGAGTGGCTGCCACCCGCACGACCAACCAGGGCCGGGGACAAACTGCAACCGAGGTACGTGCCCTTAGCGGGAACCGAACCCGGGTCTCTCCGGACCGCAGGCGGACGCTCTAACCGCTGAGCCAAACCGGCCAGGGCTTCATTTAACCCTTATAAGAGGCCTATGAAATGTGCTAATCTCCACTTCTAAATAATGAAACTGAAGTTCAGAGAAACTTCATAATTTACCCCAAATCATAATTTGATAGCGTGAGGTTTCAAACTTAGGGTTGCCTGACTCAAGGGCTCTTGCTCTTAACTATTATAATATGCTGACCATTCATGCACTCTCACCAATACCTACAGTCCAACTCATTGCATTTATTTCCAGAATGTCATCTGAAATACTTTCCCTTTTAAAAGCTTATGTCTATTTATCTTTATTTTCCTATAATAAACATGCCTTGTCCTTGTAGTAAGAAAAGGTCTTTAAAGATATTTTAAATGATTTATGACAAACATAATCAAGATACGAACACTATCAGAGTATGATTCAGGGGAGAGAGTGTCTGGATCCACAAACAAAAGCATCTAATTTGTGTGATAGATATGTCCCTCTAGTAAAGATAGACTGGACTATTTATGATTGATGATATATCTGCCATTATAAATGTTCAAATAAGCCCCCTGATCTGATCCTATATTCTTCAAACAACAATCTGATTATAATCTGACTTTCCATGTAGACTTTCTCAAAAAAAAAAAAAAGAATTTTTTTTTAAGTACTGGAATGCCACTAGTAAGATATCCTCTTAAGAATGGAAGCTATCTTAGCTACATAATATCAAAGGCAAACACATAATTCCAATCTTCAAGCAATTATAGGATAAAATGCAAAGCATAGAATTTAATCTTATCCTAGAAATAGCAATGTAAAACAACTGTTTCATAATAAATAATGAGAAGATAATTGAAGTACAATGTTTACAACATGGGAGCTAAAGGACCACCACTTAAGTTTCTCATTTTTTACATCATTTTTTTTCCTCTTAAAAAAAGTAATTCTATGCCATCTTGAAAGAATCTATCATTTGGTGACTTATATACTTTCAGGGTTTATCTGGTATTCATTTTACTGTGGAAGAGCCTAGAATAGCATTGTTCCAAGTAACTTTCCACAATGATGAAATGTTCTCTATCTATGCTGTACAATTTGGTAGCCACTAGCCCATGAGACTACAGAGCACATGAAATGTGGTTAGTGCGACTGAGAAATAAATTTTATTTAATTTTAATTTAAATAACTACATGTAGCTGGTTCCTACTATATTGGACAGTGCAGGCCTATAAGAATCCTCAGGCATCATTAATATCAACTCTTTTTTTAGAATTGAGAAAACTGAGGCCATAATCCACAGCTTACCTGTGGCTACTCACTAAGATAAAATTACACTCTGAAATCCTGCAAGATCAATACTATTGCACTCAATACACAGAGTATGTCCACTGTTCCAAGACCTTACCTGGAAGTAATTGCAGTGTGCATAGGTAGAGGCAGTGGGAGTGACACAACTACTGAGAGCGTCCATGTGGGTAGAAGGAGAGCAGCACTGTAACACAGCTGAAACAAATTCAAAATAGAAAGTCCATCAATCAAATAAACCTCTGTAGCATTCAAGGTACTACCTTCTTTCATCTTGGAAAAAAAAGTTTTCCTTTGTGGATGCAATAAAATATATTTAGTCCAATTAGGTGCTATTGTTTGTTGAAAACATGATAATAAATTAACTTTAAAAGTCACTTAAAAGTGTCATGTCTACTTTTATAAATGATTTCTTTAGCACTTAGACATTTTTGTACCCAACCAAACATTAGGTTAAAAGTAATTTCTTTTTGTTGAAAATATCAGAACATATTTGGAATTCCAAAATAATTATTTCAATCACTTTAATAGTAGCAAACATTTGGAGGAGGGTGTGTTTTTAAGGGTAAAATAAGTATGAAATACTCTCCAAACATTCCTACCATTATATAATGCATCCAGTGAGATCTATGCAAAAAATCATAGACAAGTGGTTAGAAAGTCAGATCCTAGCGCCAGACTGCCTGGCTTTGGAACCCAGATCCAAAAATTTAACAGCTGCATAACTTGAGTAAGGTCAATCTCTTTGGCATCCCATTAGCATAGGGATAATAGTTCTGGCCAGTTTGGCTCCGTGATTAGAGCATCAACCCTTGGACCAAAGGATCTCAGGTTTGATTATTCAAAGCAAGGTATATTTGATTTTGAAAACTACCTCTAAAGTTAAAAAAAAAAATTGTGAAAACCAGTTTGACTCAACAATTAGAATATTGTTCTGTGGTTCTCAGGTTCGTTTCCCAGTCAAAGGCACGTACCTGGGTTGCAGGTTTGATCTCTGGCCCTGGTCAGGGTCATGCAGGAGGCAACAAAACAATGTGTCTCTCTCATATAGAGGTCTCTCTCTCTCTCTATCTCTCCCTCCCTCCCTCCTCCCTTCCATCTTCTCTTAAAAAAAAATCAATGGAAAAATATCCTTGGGTGAATTAACAAACTAAAGAATAGAGATAATAATAGTGCCTACCTAACATGTTTGTTGTGAGGAATGAATAAGTTAATATGCACAGAGCACTTAAAATAGTACTGGCATACAGTAAGCAATTGATCAATAAATAGCTAACACTGCTATTATTTTAATTTAAAAAATACATTTTCCAAATTTTTTCTTTATAGCTAGGATACCATGAAAAGAATGAACTCTTTATACTGGGATAGCTAAACTTACAGATGCAGTCTTAAAAAAAGGTTGAGTCTCCTCTTTTTCAGAGAGACACTCCAGAACAAATGAAAACTAGTTACTATATCACACCGTTGAATTAAACAGAGGATGACATTTATTGAGCACCTACCCTGTTGCAGGCACAGTACTACGTGCTTTACATATACTGTCTCAGTTAATCCATACAACAATTGAATGAGGTATTACCATTACTTTATAAAAATAAGGAAACTAAAGGTCAGAGATATAAAATAATTTGCCAGAAGTCACAAAGCTGGTAGTGATAGATGCACTGATCAAACTGTAAAGCACAGAAATGCTCTTTAATATACCACAATACTTCCCTAGTCTTTCCTTCTTCCTAAAATGTAACATTTTAATTTTATTAGAACTCTACTTGCTGAATATTTTTAAGGTGTCTTCATTACAAGGTGCAACTTTCTCTTTTTATGTACACATTTTCATATTTCCAGTGTGCTAATAAAATTACTAAATAATCTCATTCTGTAATCTTTGAAAGTAAATCAGCCCAAGGATTGTAAAAATGCATTGAAATGCTTACCTATTTCTCCATTATTGACTACTGATACTTAAAATGTCAGAAGTTTGCCCTGGCCAGTTTGGCTCAGCGGTTTGAGTATCAGATCGCTGACCAATAAGCTGCGGGTTCGTTTCCAGATAAGGGCACATACCCTCAGTTGTGGTTTGTTCCTGGCCCTGGTTGGGGCATGCGAGAAGCAACCAGTCATCGATGTTTCTCTCTGTCTCTCTCTCTCCCTCCCTCCCACTCTATCTGATAACAAGTGAAAAATATCCTCGGGTGAGGAATAAATTTAAAAAAAAATTTTAAATGTCAGAAGTCCATAAAGGTATATTAGAAATAAATATTTTCTTATATAAATGTGCAATTTAAGGCATTACATTTTGAACATGGAAGGAAAAACTTGAAATAATGGACAGAATACTAGTTCCGAAAAAATTCAAGCTGTTGTCACTTCCTTTATCCTTGGAGATCATTCAAATTGACAATTAAAATGTTTTGAATTTGAATTTGGTTTCCTAGGATATTTGAAAACATAAATACCCTGAGAAATAAGTTAAATGAAAAAAAGCCAAACACCAAGGCAGGGTATGCAGGGTTTACCAAAATACTGAAATAAACTGGGATTTTTTTCTAGAGTTTTAACAGCTAAGGAATACCTAGCCCTCTAGCGGCAGGAAAAGACTCCGTCAGAAGCTGCAGTTTTACACCCATCAGGGCACCATCAACAGTGTGGTGTTAGACAGAGGGAAAGGGGGTGTCAGGGTAAGTGGAGGTGGGCAAAAGGGGAGAAAATGAGGATAGAAAGAACTTTGCTTAGAGCGATGTTCACACTAGCAGTGTATAAATGATGTTTTGTTGAGTTGTACACTTGAAACCTGTATGGTTTTGTGAATCAATGTCACTCCAATAAATTCAATGAAAAATAAAATAAATCAATGAAAGGTTATTAGCTTTATTTTTCTGATATTACTATGTCTGACTCCATTGGTTATACATTTTAAATAGCTGTTAAAGGTGTACTTTAAGCCCTGGTCAGTTAGCTCAGCGGTTAGAGCGTCGGCCTGTGGACTGGAGAGTCCCAAGTTTGGTTCCCGCTAAGGGCACGTACCTCATTTGCAGTTTGTTCCCGGCCCCAGTTGGGGTCGTGTGGGTGGCAACCACTCAATATGTCTCTCTCACATCGATGTTCCCCCCACTCCTGCTCTATCTGAAGATAAATGCAAAAATGTGCTCAGATGAGGATAAAAAAATAAAAAAGTGTACTTTAAAATAAATTTCTTGGAAAAATTAAATAGAATATAAAACAGAGAAAATATGTGTAGTTGATAGCTGATTTGGTATCTAAGGAAACAATAAAATAGTAAATATCCTTTAAAGTGTCCAGTAACAAATGAAAAGTATAAAGGACTCATGAAAAAAAGGACTTGAATAGATAATCCAAAAAATTCCTTAGTGGCTATTTCCTTACCTGTTCAGCCCTACAGTCAACAAAACAGAACAAAGCCAGGTATTAGTAAGCTTACTGAAAACTAAAATTTGGTGAGTCCTTAATACATGAAAAATTAATCTAGTGTGTATTATGAGTTTATCACTATGTCCTAAAAAAAATTCTTCTGCATAAAAAACTCTAGTGTTTTCCTGAAGGCAGTGTTAAGGTATTAAACTGCATAAAGGATGAAAAACTAGAATAACGAACAAGATTCTATTTCAGATATAAATATGAGTTGATTACATTTTTAAAAACAAATCTAATAATAAAAATAAAGCCAGATTACTAAAAACTATCTAAAGGTAAAACTAAAAAAAAATAATAGAGGTAAAAGTTTTCACTCCCACTATAGGTTACAAAAACAAGTTCATACAATTTAAGAAAACAAGTTCAACCCTGGCCGGTTTGGCTCAGTGGTTAGAGTATTGGCCTGCGGTCCAGAGAGACCCAGGTTCGGTTCCCACTAAGGGCATGTACCTTGGTTGCAGTTTGTCCCCGGCCCTGGTTGGGTTGTACAGGTGGCAATCACTCGATGTGTCCCTTTCACGTCGATGTTTCTCTCTCTCTCTCTCCCTCCCACTCTATCTGAACAAAAATATCGAAAAATGTAGAGGATAAAAAATAAAATAAAATAAATGTTTTAAAAAAAAGAAAACAAGTTCAAAACATATAATGAAAATATTTGAACAAGAATCCACTCCAGAATAGTAATGTCAAAAGTGAGAAAATGGCTCTAGCCAGTTTGGCTTAGCGGTGAGAGTGGTGGCTCAAGGACTGAAAGGTCTCAGGTTCAATTCTTGGCCAAGGGCTCCTACCTGGGTTGCAGGTTCCATCCCCAGCCAATCGATGTGCTCTCTCACATCTCCCCCTCCCCCTGCCTTCCACTCTATCTAAAAAAATCAATGGAAAATATCCTCAGGCGAGGATTAATAACAACAAAAAAGTGAGAAAATGCCCGATATAAATGCTCAAAAGGAAAAACATCCTACTAGTAATTTCAAGATAAGTTATGATAGCAACTAGAACCCAAATATCTCCTCATTTATAATTAGGTAAAAAAAAGGTAACCTGGGCATATTCCCAAAAGAAGTGAGAGCAACAGAGATACTTGTGAACCTGTGCAGGAGCATTATTCACAATAGACAAAAGCAACTCAGAGTCTATCAACAGATGAACAGATAAACAGAATGTGGTACATACAAACAATGGAAAACCATTTGGCGTTAAAAAGGAAGGAAATTTTGACACATGCTACATTAATGAACCTTGAAGATATTATGCTGAGTGAAATAAGCCAATCAATATGAGTCCTCTTATATGAAATTCCTACAGTTGTCAAATTCTCCAAGACAGAAAACAGAATGATGATTGCCAAGAGCTAGGAAATGTGAAGTCAATGTTTAATGGGTATGCAGTTTCAATCGTGGAAGATGAAAAAGTTCTGGAAGTGAATGGTGGTGATGCGAGTACAACAAGGCAGATGTATTTAGTACCAGAGAACTGTACACTAAGAAGTGGCTAAAACGGTAAATTCTATGTTTTGTATATTCTACCTCAATAAAAAGAAAGACAAATAATAATTATGCTTTTGCTTAATATCTTCTGGCAGCTAAAGAGAACTTCTTGGTGTGTCTACACCAAATCCTTCTTCCCATAATAACAAAATCAGGCCTTTACAAAAATCAGGCCTGACAATACAGACTACCTGAGCACAATAGTAAAAGCATCAGAAAGCTCTTTGTAACTCCAGATTCTATATTTGTTTGTGTATATTATGTAGGATTAGAAGCCTAAAGATCAAATCTTTAGAATTTATTTATTTATTTATTTATTTATTTTCCTCACCCAAGGACATTTTTCCATTTTTTGTTCTGATAGAGTGGGAGGGAGGGAGAGGGACACATCGAATGGCTGCCACCCGCACGACCAACCAGGGCCGGGGACAAATATACAATAATACAATACAATAATAAACATCATTCCCAGGTTTTGGCACTAAAAAATAAAAATGAATGAATAATAAATAAAACAATAAACAATTCTTTTTGTCTTGTTCCTGTTGCCCCATTTCATCACTGTGTATAGCACACTACATAATGAAACACCCCCTACAGCTATGCTGCTTCTGCAAGATAGAATATACATTTGTTTTGTTTTTCGTTTTTTTTATCCTTACCCGAGGACACTTTTCCATTTTTTGTTCTTAGAGAGTGGGAAGGGGAGAGAGAGAGAGAGAGAAACATCGACGTGAAAGGGACACATCAAGTGGCTGCCACCCACATGACCAACCAGGGCTGGAGACAAACTGCAACCGAGGTATGCGCCCCCAGCGGGAACCAAACCGGGGTGCCTCTGGACCACAGGCCGACGCTCTAACCGCTGAGCCAAACCGGCCAGGGCAGAATATACATTTGAATAAAATGGTAAGGCTATTACCTTGCAAAAAATGTATCCCCCCCCCACACACACACACAAAATCCCCATTGAAGCTCAACAGATGGGCACTACATAAGGATTCCCAATCAGCAGCTTGAGACCTACCAGTTATGTCTTCCACACCCTTGTGGGAGCTCTAAGTCAGTTGTCATTGTCAGGTCCTCCTTTCTGCCATTCCCTAGCTCTTACTTGGCTGGGATTAACATTGCAGGGACTGTACTGTCAAACCACACCATCACGTTTTTACTTAAAGAATATAATCTAGTTTTAAGAGATGTAAAGCATGCTCTTTTATTAAACTTCATTGCTGAGATATTAAAATGATTTCATTATAAGGTCATCTCCCCTATAAAATATATAATATGTATATAAATATATTTTTAAAAAGAAAAAATAATTCTGCACCAAGGACAGAGTTATACTATAGCAAGGTTCAGTGTATTTAGTTTTAATTTCATTACTATGACACAGTTTGAGGATGCAAAAGTTTCACTGAAAACATATATCTTTAGCCCTGGCTGGTTTGGCTCAGCGGTTGGAGCGTTGGCCTGCGGTCTAGAGAGACCCGGGTTCAGTTCCCGCTAGGGACACGTACCTTGGTTGCAGTTTGTCGCCAGCCCTGGTTGGTTGTGCGGGTGGCAGCCACTCGATGTGTCCCTTTCATGTTGATGTTTCTCTCTCTCTCTCTTCCTCTCTCTCCCTCCCACTCTATCTGTACAAAAAATGGAAAAATGTCCTCGGGTGAGAATAAAAACAAAAACAAAAAAAACCATATATCTTTAGCCCTAGCCAGTTTTGCTCAGTAGTTAGAGCATTGGCCCACAGACCAAAGGGTCGTGGGTTTGATTCCCAGTCAAGGGCACGTACCTGGGTTGCAGGTTTGATCCCTGTCCCCAGTCGGGGTCATGCAGGAGGCAACCAATCGATGTGTCTCTCTCACATCAATGTTTCTCTCTCCTCCTACCTCCCTTCCACTTTCTCTGAAAACCGATGGAAAAATATCCTCAGGTGAGGATTAACAAAACAAAAAAATATACCTTTATGCACCAACAGAATTTTCACAATTCTTAAGTACACATAAAATTTTATATATTGTTTAAAAATATGAGAACTTTTTGACGTTACTTAGGTGCATATTCCTAGGATTTTTATTAAGCATGCAGAAATGCACTTAAAAATAGAAATGCCCCTTATAAAGTAGTACCTTAAGAGAAGCGACTGAACTTGAATTTCTCATACCTGTTGGATAGTAGGCTTGGGAGTACTGTGCTGAGGGTGTGTAGTTACTATATTTTTGGGAGGAGTTGACCATTGTTTGAGGACCTTGCTGAACATGTACAGATGTGGCGCTGGGCTGCAGGGTATAAGTAACTTCAGTTGGAAACCTCTGCAGTACAGGAAATGGAACCCCTTTATCTGAAAAAGTGGGAGATGTTTCTACTTGTCCTGGGTGCATTCCAAGGGAGTTCTGCCATGTTCTAGGAGGAATCGGGGTCCGATCTAAACCTTTCAGAGGGAAGGTACTGTGGTTGTGGGATGAAGTTGATACGTAGGAATAAGGAGACAGACTATCTCGCCGGAATGACCGATGGAATTGTCCTACAGCCACTGGTCCTGCATAAAAGAAGAAGAGTACATTTATTAATTTCACATTACACCACTGGACATAGTAAACCAAAAGTCAAAAAATACATACTACTCTTCCCCTATGAAATGTTGAGTTTTCAGTCATTTTTAACATAACAGAAATTAAGTATTTAAAAACAAGTTCATGGACAACGAAGCTGGGGACAGGGTCGGGGGGATGGGGAGGAGGGTGTCAATGGGGAAAAAAATCTGTAACAAAAATAAATTAATAAAAATAAATTAAATTTTAAAAAGTTCAGAATCCAGAATATGAGATTACACATATAATGCTGAAAAAATAATCACATAAATTTTTGTTTGGTTTTCAATGTAACTGTATTAAGAGACAAAATGATCAAACTTTAAAATTAAATCAAATATTCAATGTGAAAAGCCTTTTATAAATTTTTATAAAGTCGTCTTACCTTTTACCTCAATTAATTGACCCAGATTTTTTCAATCTGTAAGCTACTTCCTAGAAGTTTTAGAAATTCCATTCTGTCTTTCAAATCATTTAAAAACCTTAATAATAGGCACAAGAACCCAGCCAGTGTGACTCAGTGGTTAAGCATCGACCCGTGCACCAAGAAGTTGCCGGTTAGATTCCTGGTCAGGGCACATGCCCAGGTTGTGGGTCCAATCCCCAGTGGGGGGCATGCAGGAGGCAGCCAATCAATGTTCTCTCTCATCAATGTTTCTATCTCTCTTTCCCTCTCTCTCTAAAATCAATAAAGAATAAAATAATAATAGGCACAAGAATAAGCACTCAACCATATACATAAAAGAAATAACTATGGAACAAATAAGAATTATAATACAAACCAAAACAGAATTTAATGTTCTTTGCTCCCTTTCAATTATAAAAATTATAATCTTCATCCTGGTTTGTGTGGCTCAGTGGTTGAATATCGTCCTGTGCACTGAAAGGTCACTGGTTCAACACACGGTCATGGCACAAGCCCAGGTTTCCGGTTCAATCCCTGGTCAGGGTGTGTACAGAAGGCAGCTGATCAATGTTTCTCTCACATTAATGTTTCTCTCTCTCTTTCTCTCTCCCTTCCTCTCTCTAAAATCAATTTAAAAAATATATTTTAAAAAATTATAATCTTTGCAGAAAAGTCAGGCTTGAAAACTTTGACTTAGTTCTCTTCTTTATTCCTTAAATCAATCAATTTTCCATGGTCTTTTTTTCTTCAGAGTACCTCTAGCAGTGTCCCTTCCTAGATTTCAGTGGCTCTCAAAACCTAATTAACATCTGAGTCACCTAGAGCATTTGTTTGTTAAAAATCCACATACTCAGGCCCAGAAATTCGATTATTTGCTTTCTCTTATCTAGCAACATAGAAAGGAATTAAAAAGTGGATATGAGGAAGAGATAGGGCAATACTATGTAACGAGAAAAAGGAAAATATAAATATTACAAGCTGAACTTATTTTATAGACTGTGGTTCTTGAACACAAACAACGGTAGCCTAATTTATTTCTAGAGAAAGCTTTATGTATTAAGTTATGTGGTTCACAAATGCCATTCAATTTGTTTTTTTTTATCCTCACCGGAGGACATTTTTTGTTCAGATAGAGTGGGAGGGAGGGAGGGAGGGAGGGAGAGGGAGAGAGAGAGGGAGGGAGAGAGAGAGAGAGAGAGAGAGAGAGAGAGAGAGAAATTGACATGAAACGAACACATCGAGCCCTGGCCGCTTTGGCTCAGCGGTTAGAGCATCAGCTCGAGGATCATAGAGACCAGGGTTCGGTTCCCGCTAGGGGCACATGCCTCGGTTGCAGTTTGTCCCTGGCCCCAGTTAGGGTTGTGCAGGTGGCGGCCAGTCGATGTGTCTCTCTCACGTCGATGTTTCTCTTTCTCTTCCTCCTCCCTCTCTATCTAAAGATGAATGCAAAAATGTCCTCAGGTAAGGATTAAAAAAAAAACGGACATATGAGTGGCTGCCTCCCGCACAATCCAACGGGGGCCGGGACAAACTGCAACCAAGGTACATGCCCTTAGTGGGAACCGAACCCGGGTCTCTCTGGACTGCAGGCGGACGCTCTAAATGTTGAGCCAAACCGGCCAGGGCATTCAATTTGTTTTAATAAACAAATCCCTAACACAGAGGAAAAGTCTAATTTATATGCTACACATCTGTTAAACTACATGGTAAAAAATGGCACTCAAATACTTTTTCAAATATTTAACCTGTAAACCTATTCTACATGTTACACACCATTTATTTTATTTCAACAGTGTTTAGTTCCTCTAAAGAATAAAGCATCATAGTGTGCTCCTAACCGCTACTGGTTTGGCCCTGCCTGATTCAAATTGATTTTCTGCTCAAATAAACTCTTAAAAAAAGTAATAAAATAAAAATAGCATGACTGTCAAAAAATAAACACATACATACAAATAGACACAACAATTCTGGAACCCTGGAAATCAAGAGCTCTAATCCTAATGGGGGAAAAAAATCTTAGTTACGAAGAATATATTTATATCATACAGCTTTAAAAATTACTTTTCCTCTTTTCCCTTAAAGAACCAAAAATAGTTTTTATGCTACTTGACTAGCAATCCCATATACATACATTTTTAACTCACCACTGACTATTCTCTTTTAAAACCTAGAAACATTTTTTATTTTTCACAACAGGTATTTCTGAGGTCCAAAACTACTCAACACTTGATTTTTCCTCTACACTTCACCTGTTGTTAGTAGGCAGTTAAATACACATGAGCAGAGTAGGAACGATAGGCCAGGTGCAGAGGGTTATCACGGCATAGAGCCCCAGTTGTCTAGTAATGGGCAAAACTACAAGCCCTTTCAAGACCACTCCCTTAAGCATTAACCCCTGGAAATGACATCTAGACCTCAGTTGTGTTTCATTTAGCTCCAGGCTCAGAAAAAGCAGCAAAACCAGTCAGGACCAGGTGGCACCAACCAATTAGTGGAGACGAGGACCCTGAGCAGACACAACTGGAAAGCTAATGAACATTCTATTGAGATCCTACCTAAAGACCCCCAGATAAAAACCCTCAGGATGGAGGCCCCTGTGGAGCACCTGTGCCTTTTACCACCCCCTTACCCCCAGGTAGGTTTTCCTTGCTCTTTCTCCTAAGCTCCAAGGGCCCTTCTTTTGCCTCTGTAACCTGTTTCCTGAACCCATTTCTTCTACAGCTCACTTCTTCTACCTTTGTGACTTTCTTTTTTTAATTGTTGCAAATATTACAGATGTCCTTTTTCCCTATTGACCCCCTCCTCTTGCTCCCATTCCACTCCTGCTTTCCCAACCTAATGTTTGTGTCCATTGGTTGCGCCTCAGTGACTTTCTAAGTAAACTTTCTCTTGTGAGTCTTGACTCTAAATTCTTTCTATCCAGAACTCAAGTACTGAGGTAGCTGAACTGAGATCTGGTGTGACTCCATGGGTCTAACGCCTGGTACCGTTTTTCCACCGCTAACAGTGCTAAAACTACATATTGCTACCGTGTGCAATAGCTCACTAATCCTTTTAGTACCTTCTTTCAGGTTAAGCTGTTGATGAATTTTTAGACTGTCAATAATTAAAACAGTTAATTAAAAAATTCTCTACCTTACTGACATTCCTCAGAAGAGGGAATGGGGAGGGAATGGGGGGGGGGGTGGGGGGGGAGAGATAAACCACCGAACTTATATGCATGTATGCATGACCAATGGACATGGACAACTAAGCTGGGGACGGGGCGGAGGTGGGGTGGGGTGGGGTGGGGGGTGCCAATGGGGTAAAAAGTTAAAATATCTGTAACAAAAAAATAAATAAAAATTCATAAAAAAAAAAAATTCTCTACCTTGATTTCTCAATTTCTGATCTAAATCTGAAATAAAATATAAATTCTACTTCTGTTAAGATTAATTATGAGTGATAGCCAAATATTTTACATGTTTTAGATGCTGCTAATGTAAGGACACTGTTAGGATTTGAAGGACATTCCTTTAAATTTGTTTGTTTTTTGAAATAAAAATCTAACCCTGGCCTGTTTTGCTCCGTGGTTAGAGCGTCGGCCCACAAACCAAAGAGTCGTGGGTTTCACTCCAGTCAAGGGCACATAACCTCAGCTGCAGTTTGTCTCCGGCCCTGGTCTGGGTTGTGCAGGAGGCAACCAGTCGATGTCTCTCTCTCACATCGATATTTCTCTCTCTCTCTCTCTCTCTCTCTCTCTCTCTCTCTCTCTCCCTCCCTCTATCTGAAGATAAACAGAAAAATATCTTTGGGTGAGGATGAAAAAAATAATCTAAAACATGTTCATCTCTTATTTATTCTTCTGTTAAGGGTTACCTCATAGGGTTCCATTCCAAGTTTACAGATCACCTATACTGATGAATACCTTTACTGATGTATTTGACAAAGTTTAAATCCAGAATTCTGGAACTGTAAAGCAAGATGAATTTTTGTTCTTAGAAATTCTATTCTTTCTGTATAGATGAATCTGAACTAATCAATTCCCACAAAAAAAAAAACAAAAAAACCACTTGCCTCTTGTCCAAAATCTGCCTTTTGAGAGCTTGGTAGCACCAGGCAAAGAATGAGTATCTATGATTCAGACTTGTTATGTCACTTAGTTTAGAAAGTTTTAACAGATATTTTAAAAATTGCCACTAAAACAAAGTAACAGTCCAGTCAGTGTGGCTCAGTGGATTTAGCATAGTCCCATGGCCTGAGAGGTCCCAGTTTGATTCCCAGTCAGGGCACATGCCCAGGTTGCAGGCTCATTCCCCAGAAGGGGGCATACAGGAGGCAGCCAATCAATGTTTCTCACATGGATGTTTCTCTCTCCCCCTTCCTTCCTCTCTAAAAACAAACAATAGAAACTTTTTTTTTTTAATTAAAAGCAAAATAACAAAAGTGGACAAATGAGCCCTGGCCGGTTTGGCTCAGCGGTTAGAGCGTCGGCCTGCGGTCCTGAGAGACCCGGGTTCGGTTCCCGCTAAGGGCACGTACCTCGGTTGCAGTTTGTCCCCGGCCCTGGTCGGTCGTGCGGGTGGCAGCCACTCGATGTGTCCCTTTCACATCGATGTTTCTCTCTCTCTCTCTGTTCCTCTCTCTCCCTCCCACTCTACCTGAGCAAAAAATGGAAAAATGTCCTCGGGTGAGGATAAAAAAAATTAAAAAAAAAAAAAAAAAAGTGGACAAATGAAAAAAGGAAAACCGTGATTCTCACATTTCTTATCAAGCACATTCTCAAAAAGCATAAAAAACAGCTGGCTCAAAGATCTAGATAAGAGAACTAGATCCTAAAACAGAGGATTGTACTGTAAGAGAGAAGTATTCAAACCCTAAACTGAAGTAGAACACACAAAAAAAACAAAATGGAAACTAAGAATTAGCAGTGTAGTCAGGCATATACTCAAAGCAATTCAAGCAGATTAACATTAGGTGAGAAAAAATAAAAGAGCCAAAGACTTAGAACATGGAATTAAAGCAAAACAAAGTTGGGCCAGTATTCTTGAACTTAGAATTACATTCCACCCAAACTAGTAACACAATTCCCTAGTGAATCAAGCCTATGGTGTAGGCAATCCACACCTGACATACCATACCAACAAGGTAGAATGGTAAAACAAAACAAAACAAAACAAAACACACATACTCACAAAAACAGAAAATTCATGAATAACCTAAGTATACATGGACTGATGTATTATTTATACTGAAAAAGTTTGAATTACATGTTTTTCAACAAATAATCTTTAAGATGCTGGCCAACTGAAATAGAACTGAAGAAAATCAGATCCTAGAGAGCCCCTGTATTTCTTCAATTAAAATGGACTCTACTTTAGAATACAATTGAGTTTAAGATACATGAAAGAAATAGAAAATCAGAGAAGAGAAAAAAGTGAGCAGAGTTGGTTTTTATGTTTATATGTATATATGTATTTTTTTTGTTTAATGGTCATCCCATTTCTCTCAAGAACACATTTTCCAGTCTTTTCTCCTTATACTTACCAGATACACAATCTGCAAATCAAATATCCATGACAGAGATTCTGTGAAATGTATGCCATAGTATTGTCTCCATTGCCTTTCCCCATTCGATTCCCCAGTAACATCAATGGCCATCATATGGAAGTTGCTTAATATTCCTTCAGAATTCCTTTAGAACATTCCTACGCCACTGCTATTTTTCCAACTTGTTACTAGAACTCTAACCTAATTCCTTATCTTCTAAACTCCACAGACACAACCTAGTCCTTTATCTTCTAAATTCCAAACAAAGTGCTACCACATTCATAATTCTTGGCTCACATTTGTCTATTTTTTAAGTTTTCCCTAACTGAAAAGTAAACCAGAAATCTTTGTTAAATCCATGTTAACATGCTGAAAATGTTTCTATTACTCTCCTACTTGAAGGTAAGGAATAAATTCTCAATATTATATCCTGTTGCTCTCCTGGAGTTCATATCATAGATTCCTTAAACAGAGAAAGAGAATATTGCCACTCTTACTTTCCTGGAAGAAAAGGAAGAGCATCAGAAATCAAGTTTATAAAATAATTTTCTATCACAAGAATTTCTGAACTTTTAGTAAATACAGATTTAAAAATATGAATTTTTTCAAATACTGAAAGATTACAGCCAATAGTGAAAAATTCAAAGGCCATAAATGTGAGCTTTCTAAAATTCTTTGTAACTAAAACTTGACAGCTGTAAAGAAAATCATTTTTGCCTTACATGCGTCCAACTACAACCTATTAAAATAAGCATCAGTTCTAATTAGCTACAAGGAAAGAATTGTTTGGCCAATTCATCCTACAAAGGAACAATACCTGGTAAACAATAAAACACAGTATTATATTTCTGCTCTTAAGATACATAAACAATGTCTTATTCTATACATTACTTGGAGCCTAAAATAGAATTATTGTCAGAACTCTTCTAAGATTTCTTAGTCGTGTCAATGGGTGGAAGATGGTGCATCTCTTCAAGGACAAACCTCCACCCAAGGTACCTTGTTCACTTTCCCTTGGTTGGTATAAACGGCCTAAGTTTTCCTTATTAACTTGGCTATGACTCGGTTCCTTCCTACCTTGACCTTCATCATACTCCCATGCATCCCGGGTGGTAGCTCCATATGCTTCTCACCAGAGCAAAGCAGACCCTTTGTGTTTCTTCCAAACTGGGTGCTTCGACAAAGGGCTACTTATTCTGGATGCCCACAGGTCTCAAGAAGGTAAATGGCTACGGAGGTATGGGGTCCAAGAGAGGCTAAAGCGGGGTCCCTTTGGCCGCTGGTGGTCATAGGAAGGGCTAAATGCCTAGGGAACTTTCCAGAGAAGGCACTGATATGAAGGGGGTGCTGGTGCTCCCGAGAACGGTGGCGGTGACATGACCTACTGCCGGGGAAGCACAGGAGAAAGTGGATGCTGGGCGCATTTCGGATACCTCAAAAGTGAGGACGTGCGACAATGTCTTTGAGGTGGCGGTTGCTCCCTGAGCCCATGTGCCTGCGGTGGGCGAGGGCACCAGAGGCCCGATGGACTCACCGTGTGGATCCGGCCGGGGCCCCGCGGGCGGCGGCGGCGGCTCCTGGTGCTGCAGCGGGGGCGTGGCGGTGGAGGCCGAGGAGGAGGCTGAGGCGGAGGCCGAGGCGGAGGCCGAGGTGATGAGGAGCCTCTGGAAGCGGTTGGGCGGGCGGCAGGGCACCTTCAGGCCGGCCGCCAGCTTGGCCTTGTTGGCGCTGGTGAGCCTCTTGAGGTGCACGAGCAGCTGCGGCTGGTCGCGGCGGAAGTGCGGGCTGTGGAAGTGGTGGAGCGGCCCGTCGCCGGCCGGCCCGCCGCCCCCCGGCCCCGGCCCGGGCCCCGCGGCGCCCGGCCCGCCCAGCACCACCTTGCGGAAGCCGTAGAGGTTGAGCTGGCGGATGAAGCTGGTAAAGTTGGTGGTTTTGAAGAGCTCGGGCTCGGTCCCCGCGGCCCCGACGCCGCCACCCCCGCTGCCCCCGGAGCCACCGCCGCCTCCCGCTCCCGCCCCGGGCGGGCTGAGCAGTTCGGCCTCGAAGAGCGGCTGGTCGATGAGCAGCCCCTCGCCACGGCCGTCCCAGCGAATCGAGCGGTACCGAGGGCTGTTTACCAACCGCCACAGTTTGGCGGGGAAATTGTTGGGGTTGATGGGGGTGGAGAGCAGCGCCTCCTCCATCGCCCCCCGCCCGGGCCCTGGGCCTCGCCCCGCCGAGCCTGGCTCTCCTATCCCGTTCTCGATCCCCCCAGGCCTTCGCTTCGCCCTGCCCCCTCCTGCCAGCGCTCGGCCTTCACGGACCGGAGACCGTTGGCGTACGAGCCCTCGCCGCGCCTTCCAGCGCGGCCAATGGGGCCTCGAGTTCCCACCGCGCGCCCGGAAGAGGCGCCCGCCGGCCTGCCCCCTCGGGCGGCACACCCGGCGCACCCGGCCCGCGGGAAGCGCGTCGCCCCAGCCACGTGCGCCAGTGTGGGACGTGTGGGACGCGACTGGAGAAAGTCCCATTCCCTCGGACCGCCAACTTGAGTTGGGATTTGCTGCCCACCAGGTAGGGTTAAGTCCTGCAAAGAAACAAGCCCAGTTACCGCCTTGGAATACTGAGATCCCTGTCCTTCACCACGGCCAGCGTGCGGGCATTTAGAATTCAGGAAGTATGCCTTTGGCAGTCCAGTCCATCATTCTTGAGAACAAAGGGCCCAATTCTATAATCTTAGTATTGCCAACTGAATTGCTCATCTCTCCAAATAAAAATGGGAGTGGTGGGGTAGTATCCTGAGTAAACAAATTCACCTTTTAGATAGCATTTTATATATATTTAAATACACTTTTAAGCCAAGGTTTTGCTCAGGGCAATCTACTCCAGGTGGGACGAGAACTGAGGAGGGAGTCAGGAGAATATAGGCACAATCCTGTATGCCTGGTCAACCAACTGGTTTTAGACCTTAAAGAGAAATAAACCTCACAAGATGGGATAGAATTCTACTGAATAAGGTAACTCCCTATCCATTTGATAAATAAGAATGCAACAGGAGCTGTGCTGATAAAAAGAGAAGTCCATAAAAAAATGGAAAATGTTGGAAGGGGTATAATGTTTTAGTCCTTTCTCATGATCAAAGAAAAAAATGAGTATGTGTTAGGTTTTTTTAGGAATCAAAATGAATAAAAAGACCCAACAAAGCAGCACTAATATAGAGATTTTATTTAAACTGTATTGAGATTTTACAGCACATTGCATGTTTGTCACAACGCAACTGCACAGTTTGGATTTTTGGCCACATCATGTCACTTACACCCACAAGAGCTCTGAAAGGAGTATTTGATGAACACATCTGAGCTGAGAGCCCAGAGTCTCTCTCCAAGGCCATGCAGTATGTTCACTGATGGGATAGTCCCTCAAAACAGCCATACAAAGTAGACAGATACAGTCCCCTCAAATGTTACCAATCTTACTCCCCCTGAAAACGGGCAGAGTGAAGTGCAATGAAAGTCAAGTGAATTAAAAAGCCATTCACAACTGGCAGTAAATTTTAATGATTGAGAAAATGCTTAGAAGAATTTTATGTCAGAGACAAGGGATAGTTTGTTACTTTTTCAATGATCTCAGGAACTTCCCAGACACAAAATCTCCATTATTCAACTCCATTTAAACGAAAAAGAGTTCTGCTAGGCTGACCTAAATATGCCAAAACTTTTTAGGTTACATCCATGGCAAGTATAAAAGCACAGATGCTTCTCTGTAGGATTGAAGAGAAGGTCAGAACAAATACGTTTCTTATTCTAAATGCAGATCCTAGTTATTTTCAAATTTAAAAAAAATTTTTTTTTCTAGGAAGCAACATGAAAGTAGCAGTTAGACAGCTACCATAGTAGTTTTAAAACAGGATAAGCCTAAATGTAATTTACCTTTTATGCACCAACAAATTAAGAAAAATATATAAAGGAAATCCTAGTGGTTTCATTATAGATCAAGAAGACTGTATCTGCCCCCGCCCCCCCCCACAGTACATGGCTATATCACTGTATCTTTTGGTTAAGTGCCACTGGTACATATTAAGATGAAAAAACAAACAAAAAACAACAACAAAAAAAAATAAAACAATGTTTGGTCCAAATGGACACATTTTCTCTCCCAATTTTGGTATCAAGGCTTTATTCTCTTCTGTTTGGGTTCCATTGTTAAGTGCACAGAAATAAACAGCAGCATTTGTACTGAAACCCTCACATACCAAACAGCATATTCTAGGAGGTAAAAACCAAACACTAAATTCTACCCTCAAGGTGTCAAGTGTTCAGGATAAGAAGCAGTGTGACCCAGAGGAGGCAGCAGCCAAGGAAAGACAACATGAGGGAAGTGGGCAATGGAACGACGACAACAAAAAAAAAAAACACATGGTTTTATTTTCATGCCAGGAGAGGATCAAGGTGTAGCTCCTGTGTTAGCACCAGGACAACTAGGAAAAGTCAGGCGCAAAGGGTAGGGCACAATCAGCAAATATTTCACAAGGATAATTTCTGCTTTTCCCTTCTCATTCTTCACAGTGCATACCTCAAGAGCTATCACTGAGTAACACAGATTACTGCCTTCATAGCTCAAATAACAAGATTTTTGCCAGGACTGAGTATCAGCAGAGTTTTCCTCTGCTCCCAAAAATGTCTCACTCCCTAGAACTGTCCCCCTAAACTGAATATTCACTGATGCTGGCCAATGAGCCAAGTGAAAAATACAGCAAAACCTCCATTTGCTGAACCAGTCTTTAAACCAAACTCCACAGAAAGACAGAACTAATGCAACTAGAGGAAGTGCCTTTAAAGACTGAGCCTTCATGCACAGACACAGAGCACAGAGGTACAGGGTATAGTTCATTTCAAATAGGATAGGAATTCCTATCTTATATACTATAATCTGCTTTTTTCAAGGTGGAGGAGAGATGGATCTGGTTATCACTTGGAGTTTGGTTATACATATGCCTTTCTATTGCTGTTTGGGGCACATCACCAGGCAGTATCTATGAAATCATTATCTGTGATCCCCAGGAGAAAGAAGCTGGAGTCATCAACTCAATGTTAAGCTTCCAGACTCCGGGTCTGGATCAGGACCATTATCCCAAGCTGAGGGTCTCACCCGTAGAGGGCCTCCTGTCAAATTGGAATTCCTCTGCTCCAGTCTCATGATACCGAAGACTTCTCAAGATGGTATCTTTGAGCTCTGTGATTTCATGAGCCACACCAAGGAACCTTCAAAACTGCACCTGAAGCAGATCCTCCCTTCAAACCTGCTATAATTGGACAGGTCATCTCCTCTGGCATTCAACTGGAAGCTGTAGCAATGGGTTTCTTCAGATGTTGGCTCATAAGTTCCCTGGCACGAGATACTTGGATGTGTTCGTAACATGAGTTACAGACGAGAACTGGATCATAGAGTTGTTGATCAGGAATGGGCAACTTCAGGTGGCAGCAACCAGCACAAAATACATTCCCACAATTTCTGCCAAAGCACAAAGAGGAAAGAGTTCATCAGAAATGCCATTAGGCTATACACCTGAAACTAATACAAAAGAATACTGAATGTAAATTGCAACTGAAAAACAAAAATTTAATAAAATAAGATGCCAATATAATGAGAATGAATGATACTCTAAAAGGTCCTAAATGAGTAAATAAAGATAAAAGTTGGAAGCAAACAAAAAACAGTTCCTATAAAGAAGTCTCCATTTTCAGATTAATTCAATTACATTCATATATATGTAGCTCCCTGTTTTTTGAGCCATACCAAATCATATAAAAAAAATCGTGCCTGACTGATGTGGCTCAGTGGTTGAGCATTGACCTATGCACCAAGAGGTCACTGGTTCGATTCCTAGTCCAGGTTGTGGGCTCAATCCCTAGTAGGGGGCATGCAGGAGGCAGCCAATTCATGTTGATGCTTCTCTCTCTCATCAATGTTTCTATCTCTCTCTCCCTCTTCCTTCTTCTAAGAAAACCAATAAAAATTTTTTAAAAAATAATCTTACCTGCAATGGTGTCTTCGTTTGGCCAACCAGAATTCACAGTCACAGTTATAGCAATGTGATGCCATGTGGTCTGGAACCCAGCGAGTCACCTAACAGAAGAGACAAGAAAAATTCCAGGTCCTTGTCAACAAAGCAGAAGAGCAACACTGCACCAAGGAGAGTATCTCAAGAGAAAAGGACAAAACCTGTCTTTATAGTTGGCCACTACTCCCCTAAAAAGAAAACACTTGGTCTATAGCACTTGGTTACTCATCCCTAAGAAATATGAGAACGCACTGGCTCCTATTAGTACCCATATTTGCCTATACATACCTCAGTCTCTTTCTTATCAACAGGTTCCCAGCTTGCTTCTGAAAGGCAGTCTTCACTGTGATCAGAGCCAAAATCTTCTGTATCACTGCCATCTGACTCCTTCAAACACGTCTGAAGAAAAGGAGAAGACATCAACATCGTCTTCATCATCTCTAACATTGTTTACGGTGCATCATGCACTGTTTTAAGTGCATTACATGTGTGAACTTTAATTCCTCACAACAATCTTATGATATATACTACTTTTATCCCCATTTTGCAAATAATGAAACTGCACCACAGAGAAAGTTAAGAGCCGACTGGTAGTAAATCTGGAATTTGAACCTGGTATTCTGGCTTCAGACCCATGTTCTTAACAAATGTGGAAATTCTTTCCACAGTATGGAAAGAATATTTCCATACATCTAAACCTGGGATTTGCAAACTATAGCCCACAGGCCAAATCTAGCCCACTGCCTGCATTTTATAATTTTTTTAACAATATGTTTTTATTGATTTCAGAGAGAGAGAAACATAGATAAAAGAGAAACATCCATCAGCTGCCTCCTGCACGCCCCCTACTGGCAATCAGGGGCATGTGCCCTGACTGGGAATCGAACTGGGGACCTCCTGGTGCATGGGACGAAGCTTAACCGAGCCACACTAGCCGGGCCCCACTGCCTGTTTTTATAAATCAAGTTTCATTGGAAGACAGCCACACTCATTTACTTACATTTTGTGTACGGCTGCTTCTCCAAGTAATTGTGAAGGAGACTATATGTCCCAAAAAGCCTAAAGCATTTACTATCTGGCCCTTAACCAAAAATGTTGGCTGACTTCTGTTCTAAATCATCACCTTGAACAGTAAGAAATTGTTGG